CCTCAAAACACAAAAAAAAAAAAAAAAAAAAAAAGAAAAGAAAGAGTGCTTTGCCCATGTTGGAAAGAAGGCTAGGGGCAGAAGGCAGTCTTTGGAGCAAAGGCTGAGTGGCTTGACAGATTGAAACTGGGTGAGGAGTTAGAACTCTTGGTTTCTTTCTTTTTTTTTTCTTTTCTTTCTTTCTTTCTTTCTTTCTTTTTTTTTTAAAAGAGAGTTATTTTTTGCTACAGGACATGTGTGCTCGCTGGAGTGACAGACACAACGTGAGAAATTACCTGCTAGTTGGGATGGCCATGCTGCAATCTTTCTGGGATTTTGGGTGTGTAGTCACTCACGCCTGGTCTGAGTTTTAAGCCACCAGGTCCAGGACTCGAACCACGTCAACTACATGGGAGTCCAGCAATGTAACCATTATACCATCTTCTGGTTCCAGAACCCTTGGTTTCTGAGCCCAGCTCTTCTCAGGCCTTGCTGAGAGACTATGGGTACATCCCAGCCCCCTCTGCATATGATCTTTTCCTTGTCTGTAAGGTGGAGACTCTGACCCTGGTTTGACAGCAGGGGGCCTAGGCACTCGAGTGTGACAGGAGGAAGCCACCTCCTTTTCCCAGGTCCTTCAACGAACCTTCATGTCCCTTCTGCATCTTCCTTTGCCTACTTTCCCTCCCTACTCTCAGCTCTGGGGATCAGGCTCTTTGGGGGATTGAGCTGCTGTAAAATCTGGCTGGGGAAGAGCATTTTGAGGGCCACCGGGACCGTCTGTAGGTAAAAGTCCCACCAGCCCTTTCCTGTAGTCTTTGCTCCTCGGTCTTCTTTTTCTTGCTCTTGCTCTCTCTCTGAATCACTCCCCACCTCAAGGTAGATCCATTTTACTTCCAGCCTCCTGCCGGCTTTATTTATTGTCCGCTCACCTACTATTCTGCCCATATTCTCAACTATTTTCTCAAGAGGAACTGTCCTACTGGCCCCAACTCTGCTCCTAGAACCCACAGCTTGAGTGAGCAGAGCAAACCACCCTGGTGTCCATAAAGTTTCCAGGATCAAGGCAAGCCTGCCATCTTCCCTCAACTCCCTGATCTATTTTCTCTGTCTTCGGAGGCATTTTCTGGAAAGCAATCACCAGCAGCCCAGGTTCGCATGCATCCTGCTCCCGAGGGCTGAGAGTTCTTGGGCATCATCCCTCATCTTTGCTTGGCAGTGTCCTGGTGATGCGTGAGCCCTCCTCCTCTGGCTTCCTCCTCCAGTCTGCCTTGGGAACATGTGGGGCGGCAATGGCACGGCAGTCACTGAGTTTATTTTGTTAGGATTCTCTGGTTTTGGCTCCCTCCGGGGCCCTCTGTTTTGGGGAGTGCTCTGCATCTACCTGGTCACCTTGCTGGGCAACTCCCTGATCATCCTCCTCACGCTGGCAGACTCTGCCTTGCACTCGCCCATGTATTTCCTCCTCCGCCACTTCTCCTTGGTGGAGATCCTCTACACCACAACCATTGTGCCTAGGATGCTGGCCGATCTCCTGTCCTCCTGCCCCACCATCCCACCTGCCAGCTGCTTCATGCAGCTGTATTTCTTTGCCCTCTTTGGCATCGCCGAATGCGGCTTGCTCACTGCCATGGCCTACGACCGCTATGCTGCCATCTGCCGGCCGCTGCGTTACAACACCCTGATGAACCCGGGAGCATGCGGGAGCATGGTGGGTGCCGCCTACCTCACGGGCGTCATCACCGGCACCACTCACGCCGTCTTCATCTTCACCTTGCCCTTCCAGGGCGCCAATACCATCCATCACTTTCTGTGTGACATCCTGCCTGTGCTGAGGTTGGCCACTGCGAGCACCTTCTGGGGCGAAGTGGGAAATCTCGCCGTGACGATTGCCTTTATCCTGACCCCTTTCTCACTGATCATAGCCTCTTACGCCTGTATTCTTGCCACCATCCTTGGGACTGCGACATCCCAGGGGCGTCGAAAAATCTTTTCTACCTGTTCCTCCCACCTGTTTGTGGTCATGCTCTTTTTTGGAACTGGCACTGCTGCCTATATGAGGCCTCAGGCAGGCTCCTCTCAGGACATGGACCAGGTTCTCACCTTCTTTTACACAGTTGTCACCCCCGTGTTCAACCCGTTTGTCTATACTCTGAGGAATAAGGAGGTCACCGGGGCCATGAAGCGGCTTGTGAAGAGATACTTTTAGAGACCTTGATTCCTCCATGTTCTCAGACATAAAGACCTGATCTCTGGACATTGCGGAGGAGGGAGAACTGCACTCTACAGAGGTCTTGCCTGCTCTGCATCCGCGTGAGTGTGGGGTGCCTTGCCCCACCCAGATGGAGAGCCCAAGACACCAACATGCTGCTCAGAGCTCCGCTTTCAGGACTTGTTATCATGGCCTTGACCTGGCTTGTTCGGAGATGCAAAGTTGGGGAAAAATACACCTGAAGGGAGACTGCAGAGGGCAAGAGCCTCTGCCAGGCTCGTGTGTTGATCTGGCAATGGCTGGTCTTTCCTTGAAGATCTTTGTCCTCCTCCCAGAGACTGCTCATGGCAAGCCTTTCTCTCTTACATTAGTCTTCTCTGGTGCAATCAGAGCTCTTTTACTCCAAGTGCAGTGTCCTCCACTGGGAGGTGGAAAAGGAACAGGGCCAGAGCAACTGGTTTGGCTTTGGAAGTCAGGCTTCAAGTCTTGACTGGAGCTGTTTTAGGTCTGGCTGTAATTTTCCAGGTACTTTTCTCCTCACGAGAACTTTTCTCCTGGGATCTCTAAGATGTTGACATTCTACCCTCAACTCCTCCACTTCCTCCCTTAACTGACTTGCTCTTCCTCCGGCCCTCGGGTAGAAATGCACACCCATCTTTCTTCCCTAGCTTTGATCAGTGGGTCCAATCTGTCCCTTAGACGCTAAAAACATTTTGTTTCTTGCTAACCGTCCACTGTTTATATTTGCATTTATTTTGATTTGCTGGCCAGAGGGTTCCAGCCCCACTTTACTTTTCTTGGGAAGCCAGTGCTTGAACTCCCCAACGGCAATAAGCCCACTGGAGGGAGAAGTACGGGTAGGGAAATCAGATTTAGCACACTGAAGGAGAGCCTTTAAAATAACATTGATTTGATTTTCAAGTTTACATAGGAAGCACTGTTAAATGCAGAAAAGTTTGCACCCAAAAGAAAGGAAAATAGCTATTAGCATTTTGGTATTAATAATTTCCTTGGGAAATTGTTGCAGTGTTTTCCTTCCGTATACATACATATGTTATCTAGAGATGTATATGTAGATATACATATTTAAAAAATCCTGAAAATGGAATTATATTGTCTAAGTTGCTTTGTAAACATTATTTTCTACTTTATTAAACTACATGACAGAGGCCTGCAAGTGACATAGTGGTTAAGGCGCTGGACTCCTATGTGGTCAACCATGGCTTGAGTCTCAGATCTGGCGACTTGAAACTCATGCCAGGCACGTGTGTATGCATGCCCCAGATCCTTAGAGGAGATTGGAGTAGAAGGGATTGTGACATGGCTATCCTTCCTAGGGGGTGATTCCTTGCTTTCTGTCTATTGCTCTGGTGAGTGCAAGTGCCCTATAGCAAAAACCTCTCTAAAAACAACAACAACAACAACAACAAAAAAAAACAACAACCAAAAAACCCCCCCAAAAACCCCCAAACAAAATGATGACATTTAACCATGTCAATAGACTTCTAGAGCATAATTTGAATATCCATATGTTATCCTACTATATGAATGTACTATATTTTTTAGTTATTAATTTAATTTATTATTATTGTTAGTTTTAAAGTTTGCTATAGGGCATGTGTGCTCATCAGAGGGAAACAGAGAGAGAGAGGCAAAGTAAGAAAGCCAGCCACCAAATCTGGGACTTGAACCATGGTTGGCCATGTAGGAGTCCAGCACCTTAACCACCATGACAACTCATGGCCAAAATGTATTACAATTTTAAGCAATCTCCTGTCGTCAGAATTATTTTTTGTTATAAATATTGCTTAGATACATATATTGCACTTTTATTTTTGTATATTTATCTCATGTTTTCTTTAGCACAGACTTCCAGTAGTGGAATTCCTGAGCCAGAATGTATGCACAGTTTTAGAGTTTTTGAAATGTCCTGCCAATTGTCCTTCACGAGAATTTGTTTTGTTTTACAGTCTAGTTAAGTGCCTTTTCTCACAATTTTCAGGGCGAGTAAATGGTCTAAGCATCAGGAATGAATTGAGGTTAAATGGCATGGAGAAGAAGAAGAAGAAAAGGGAAAATATTTAACTTTGTTATGCACAAAGAACCAGTGGAGAGGACATTTATTCACTTTTCCTCAGTTTACCAAGGACTGGTTGAGATGGATTTGGGCTGGAAGTGCACTTTGAGTTATTAAAATTAGACCTGAGGAATCACTTTCTGACTGAGTTGGTATTTGAATAAAACAAGGCATAGGTTCTGGATTTTTCTTTTTTCATTCTGAGTTGAGAGTAGAGGCAAGAGGAAGAGGACATGATGGAGTTGGAATGGCTTAGCCCTAGGTGGCTTCATGCTTCTCTTACCTGAGATGGCGACAGTCCGCTCTGGAGGCTGAGGTCTTTGATTTCAGGATCCCCAGCTAAGGTTGCCAGATAAAGTAAACTATACCCAATTAAATTTCAGATAAACAAGAAGTGAATCTTTAGTATAAATGTCCCTTGAAATATTTAGGCAGAGAGATATACACTGTTATGTCGTTCTGGGAAAATGAATGTTTAGGACATACTTACACTAAAAATTATTGTTTATTAGGAATTCAAATTTAGCAAGATGTCTTATTATTATTTTAGAGTTATTTATATAATTGTATTTATTTATTTTAAAACATTTTTAAAATTTAACTTTATTTATTTATTCATCCATTTTGATTTAACCAGAGAGGAAGAGAGAGAGAGAGAGAGAGAGAGAGAAAGCCACTAGGTCTGGGACTTGAACCATGGTCAGCGCCATGGGAGTCTAGTGCCTTAGCCACCACACCATGTGCTGGCCCTATAATTGTATTTATTATTATTATTTTTTAAAAATTTGCTATAGGACATGTAGTGTCACCAGAGAGAGAGAGTGAGAAAGTAAGCTGCCAGGTCTGGGACTTGAATCATAGTCAGTCATGTGGGAGTCCAGGGCCCCAACCACCATGCCACCTGCTGTCTCCAGTGTACTGTATTCTTATCTGTGGAATCTGACAACCTTATCTCCAGGTGCTGTCAAGCAGGGTTGCAACTGCAGTTAGAGGTGAGGCTCTAAGTAGAAATCTTGGATTGTCTCCATTAAGGAAAAAGTAAGCTGCTTGGGAAATAGTTTCCTTGATGTGAGTCCTTTGCATGACCAGAGGCCCACTCTCTGTATCTGTGTGAATGTTAGCCTTCTTATAAGTGCAAAAGAGGAATGGAACACTGGAGAAGGAAGAATCTATGTCTATTCTCAGAATAGGGGCATCAAAGCTGGCTAAGGAAGGTTGACCAGAAGGCTGGTTGGAGATAGCACTATGACACTGTGGTTTAGGGAATGACTCTGGTATTAGGCAGATCTAAGATCAAATCCTGATCATCACAATCTGTGAGCTATTGGGAGGTTACTTAACATTTAAAAAAATGTATTTTTAGAAAGATTTTTGCTATATGGCACATGTGCTCGCTGGAGAGACAGAGAGATGGAGAGACAGAAAGTGAGAAATCACCCTTCAGGGGCGGATGGCCACACCACAGTCCCTTCTCCATTCTCTTCTCAGGATTTTGTGCATGTACGGACACGTGCCCAATGTGAGTTTTAAGCCACTGAGTCCGTACTCAAATCATGGACGACTATGTGGGAGTCCAGTGACGTAACCATTATGCCATCTGCTGGTCTCAGTTTCTTAACAATTTTTTTAGGCCTTAATTTCCTCATCCATAAACTCATGATCATAATAGTTCCTATGCTTCACAAGATAGTCATGAGCACTATATGTAGCCTTCCCCAGGCTTCTTATTTTTTCTCCTATAATCACTCAGCATTGTCTGAAATGGGTATGTTTATTTGTTTAGTTTTTCTCCTTTCATAAAAATAGGATGCTTTGTGAGAGCAGGGATGCTGCTTGTCTTTTTCACCAGTGTATTCCAAGTACCTAGAGTAGTACTTGACATATAGCATGTAGTAGATATTAAGGAAATATAATGTCCCTGACTTTGACCAGGAATTCTTTTTTCCTTTTTTATAAGCCAGAGGGCACCTGTGCTCACCAGAGAGGGAGGAACAGAAAGAGAGAGAGAGAGAAAACATTTTTCAATGAGGCATAGTCATGCCTAAATCCCGTCTCATACATTTCTCCATCCTGCTGGGATTTTGGGCATATGCACACATGCACCTGGTGTGATTTTAAGCTGGTGGGCCTGTTATTTGAACCCATGGTTGGCCATGTGGGATCCAGTTCTCTCAACTACTGGGCCACAGAACCAACCCAAGAAATATTTGTTAAATAAATAAAAGCTGCTCAGCACAGTGCGTGGTAAATAACAAAGTGTTTTTGATCAGTACTGTGATGGCTACTACTGTCATCTGCAATCCTATGAATTTCAATTATAGCTTTCCTCAAGGTTTTTAGATGTCTAAAATTTTGATACTTTCTCCATTAACAACCCCAAACAAAACAAAACAAAACAAAACAAAACAAAACAAAACAAAACAAAACAAAACAAAACAAAACAAAACAAAACAAAACAAAACAAAACAAAACAAAACAAAACAAAACAAAACAAAACAAAACAAAACAAAACAAAACAAAACAAAACAAAACAAAACAAAACAAAACAAAACAAAACAAAACAAAACAAAACAAAACAAAACAAAACAAAACAAAACAAAACAAAACAAAACAAAACAAAACAAAACAAAAACAAACCCTGACTTACTAGAAAGTCTAAAATGTGTTAGGAGGTTTAAGAATGTGTATCAGGAGGAAAGAGGGTTTGGAAAGGAGGTTATCTTGGCACTGTGAGGAGGATAACTCTGAAGGGGCCAGATGGTCCGTGAGAGAGAAGAAAAGGGGCAGGTGAACAATTTTAGAGGGGAGGAAAACTGACTCTGGTAACTCACAGAGTTGAAGGGAATCCTGGAGAACCAGGTTTAGAAAGTGATCAGAAACCAAGAGAAGATGAGGGTCCAGAGCTATAGCCAAGGTCATA